TTTGCGAGCAATTATAGACTTAACTTTGTTTCTTCTCCTTTTTCTCTGATTGTTTATTTGTATATTTCTTTTGTATGTCAAACCATGTGAAGCAAATATGGATATCTCTCAAAGAAAACTTGGATCAAAGTTCAATTGTAAAAATATTTGTTTAATTGATTCATGCACGACACATACTATATTCAAAGAGAAGAAATATTTCTCTCATTTAAGTATGTGTAAGGCAGATGTTACTATAACTTCTGGTAGTAGTAATTTAATTGAAGGCTCTGGAAGAGCTACTATAACTCTGTCTAAGGGAACAATACTTATCATAGAGAATGCAATGTTCTCCTCCAAGTCCAAGAGGAACTTGTTGAGTTTTAAAGATATCCGCCGAAATGGATATCATATTGAGAAAATAGATGAGAATAATCTTGAATATCTGATCATTACCAAGAATGTCTCTGGCCAGAAAAGGGTTATTGAAAAATTCTCATCTTTATGGCCTGTATTGGACAAGAATTAGTGCAATTGAGGCACATTCTATTGTAAACCAAAAGGTTACTGATTCCAATACTTTTGTACTTTGGCATGATCGATTGGGACACCCTGGATCAATTATGATGAGATGGATTATAGAAAACTCAAATGGGCATCCATTAAAAAAATTAAAGATTCTTTTAAATAATGAATTTTATTGCACTTCTTGTTATCAAGGCAAGTTAATTATTAGACCATCACCAACAAAGGTTGGGATTGAGTCCCCTGCATTTTTGGAACGTATACAAGGGGACATTTGTGGACCTATTCACCCACCTAGTGGGTCGTTTAGATATTTTATGGCCTTAATAGATGCATCTTCTAGATGGTCTCATGTGTGCCTATTGTCATCTTGCAACCTCGCGTTTGCAAAATTAATGGCACAAATAATTCGATTACGGGCGCAATTCCCCGATAATCCAATTAAGTCTATTAGACTTGATAATGCTGCTGAGTTTTCATACCTAACATAATGATTATTGCTTATCAATTGGGATAAAAGTGGAACATGTTGTAGCTCATGTTCACACTCAAAATGGCCTTGCAGAGTCTTTAATTAAACGTCTGCAAATTATAGCAAGACCGTTACTCATGAAAACGAGGTTGCCCACTTCTGTTTGGGATCACGCCATTTTGCATGCAGCAATGCTAGTTCGTCTCAGACCGACAAATTATCATAAATATTCCCAGTTGCAATTAGTTTTGGGTCATGAACCTAATATATCCCATTTGAGAATTTTTAGATGCGCAGTATATGTGCCTGTAGCACCGCCATATCGTACCAAACTAGGTCCCCAAAGAAGGTTAGGAATATATGTTGGGTTTGAACCGCCCTCCATTATTCGCTACCTCCAAACATTAACGGGGGATTTGTTCACTACACGATTTGCAGACTGTCGATTCGATGAGACACTTTTCCCCAAATTAGGGGGAGAAATTGGTGAAACCAAACGGAAAATTTTGTGAAAAAATCCATCATAATCTCATCTTGATCCACGTGCCTCTATTTGTGAAAAAGAGGTGCAAAAGATTATCCATTTGCAGAGAATAGCAAATCAAATGCCAGACGCATTTACGGATCTGAAAAGGATAACAAAGTCACTTATCCCTGCAGAGAATGTTCCAATCCGTATTGATGTCCCTATTGGACAATCTTCTAGTATCATAGCTAATGAGTCAAAAACACGCCTAAAACGTGGCAAACCATTAGGTTATAAGGATCGAAATCCTAGAAAAAGGAAAACAAAAGATCAAGATGACACTACGAAAGAGACTCATGAAGAAATCCACGATTTAACCAATCCTAAGATTCATGAGGAAATCACTAAGCCTGAGACTCAAGAAAATAAGAAACTATCAATAAATCCAATCGATATTGAGACAAATTTGAATCGATTGGATATAGTGGTGGATTATGTCTTTGCATATAATGTTGCATCTAGCATTATGCAAGATAGTGAGGATCTTGAACCTCAATCTGTTGGAGAATGTCGACAAAGACGTGATTGGCCAAAATGGCAAGAAGCAATCCAATCAGAGTTGAATTCACTTGCAAAACGTGAAGTTTTTGGGCCTGTAGTCCAAACACCTAATGGTGTTAAGCCCGTTGGCTATAAATGGGTCTTTGTACGCATGAGGAATGAGAAAAATAAGGTACAAAGATATAAGGCACGCCTTGTTGCACAAGGATTTTCACAAAAGCATGGTGTCGATTATGAAGAGACATATACACCCGTTATGGATGCTATAACGTTCCGTTATCTCATTAGTTTTGTTGTCCATGTAAAGCTTGACATGCATTTAATGGATGTGGTTACCGCCTACCTTTATGACTCACTTTATAATGAGATATACATGAAAATTCCCGAGGGATTTAAAATGCCTAACGCACATAATTCAAAGTACCGGGAAATATTTTCAATCAAATTACAAAGATCTTTGTATGGTCTAAAGCAATAAGGACGAATGTGGTATAATCGTCTTAGTGAGTATTTAGTAAAGGAAGGTTATTTAAATGATGCCATTTGTCCATGTGTTTTTATAAAGAAAACAACATCGGAATTTATTGTACTTGCCGTATATGTTGATGACATAAACCTTATTGGAACTCCTATAGAACTCCAAAAGGCAATTGATTGTTTAAAGAAGGAATTCGAGATGAAAGATCACGGAAAGACAAAATTATATCTTGGTTTGCAAATTGAACATTTGGCAAACGGAATTTTTGTTCATTAATCTACCTACATAGAAAAGGTATTGAAACGGTTTTACATGGATGTAGCACATCCATTAAGTACTCCGATGGTTGTTCGATCACTTGATGTGAATAAGGATCCATTCCGACCTCAAGAAGAGAATGAAGAGCTACTTGGTCCTGAAGTACCATGTCTTAGTGCAATTGGTGCACTAATAGTACAATTGGTGCACTAATGTATCTTGCTAATACTACAAGGCCTGACATAACTTTTTCAGTTAATGTCTTAGCAAGATATAGCTCTGCTCCCATAAGGAGACATTGGAATGGAATCAAACACATATTGCGGTATCTAAAAGGGACTACCGATATGGGCTTATTTTATGCCAATAATTGCAGTCCGATCTTGTTGGTTATGCTAATGCTGGGTATTTATCTGACCCACACAAGGCTCGATCTCAAACAGGTTATGTGTTTACCTGTGGAGGCACTGCCATATCTCGGCGATTGACTAAGCAATCAATTATGGCTACTTCATCTAATCATGCTGAAATAATTGCTATTCATGAAGCAAGTCGAGAATGTGTGTGGTTGAGGTCTATAATACATCTTATTCGAGACAAATGTGGTTTGAAATGTGACAAACTACCCATGATTTTGTATGAAGACAATGCATGCATAGCCCAATTGAAGGGAGGATTCATAAAAGGAGATAGGACAAAGTATATTTCACCAAAGTTATTTTTCACACATGATCTTCAAAAGTATGGTGATATTAATGTGCAACAAATTCGTTCAAGTGACAATATGGCTGATTTGTTCACAAAATCTCTACCAACGTCAACCTTTAAGAAGCTAGTACACAAGATTGGGATGCGAAGGCTCAAGGATGTGAAATGATGCTCTCATCAGGGGGAGTTTAATACGCGTTGCACTTTTTTTCCCTTACAAGGTTTTGTCCCACTGGGTTTTCCTTGCAAGGGTTTTAACGAGGCAATCAAAAGGCGTATTGTTAGATATGTGTACTCTTTTTCCTTTACTAGATTTTTTTTCCATTGGGTTTTATTTTAGTTAAGGTTTTAACGAGGCACATTACTTATTGGGTAGACATTCAAGGGGGAGTGTTATGAATAGAATGTAATTAGCGCGAATGTCTATCTTTTAGAGAGTTTTACTTTGTGGCTAAGTCATTTTCCCCCCTATAAATAGAGGGGCAGATGCCCTTACAAGACGCTCAAGATCTATAGCTGCTTGGCTTGGTTGGAATGCGGGTCTTACCCCATTGTAAATCATTCCAAAATTCAATAAGAATTACTCTCTCTTTCTCTACAATATTGTTCTTCTACTTTTATTGCTTTATTACACTTTTATATTTCTTTTTCATTTCTCTTACATTTTTCTTTGAAACGATAATATCTAGGCTAGCTTTTAGATATATTAATTAAAATACCAGTAGGATCTCTCTATTTTTAAATATTTCGAGTTTGAGTCTTGAAATTGAAAAAAATCTTAATAATAATTGTTCAAGAAATTATGCTGGATAGACTTTTTTTTTACATTATATTTTATATGTTAGACCTCGTTAAGCAACGTTTTGGGAAATAGCTTCACGCCAGAATTTTAAGCACGTTGATCGCCAGAACTTTGAAGCATAAGAAATTCTAGCGATCACCAGATTTTTCATCTACAATAATGAAAATTCTGGTGATCCGTCAGAATTTATGGTAAAATAATGATAATCACCATATGATGTTAAGGAAAATTTTGCCCAACATGCATTAAAATTCTAGCGCAGAGAGATTTTTTTCCCAAAACTTCTATTGTGGAGGTAAAAAAATAATAGTTGTACAAAAATATCCTGTTTGTGTCATTCATCCGAGAATGTGTCCCTCACTATTTGGCCTTCTGCAACGCGAATTCGAGTTAATTGGGTCCAATGCTAATATCCACCACCAGATGGAGAAACAAAAAACATTGACTAAAATATGAAATGCATATTTTTTTTCTCTAAAAATCACCTTAATCTTTTTTCTTTCCGATGTTGGGATTTAAATCTTAGACTTCCATGATCTATTTTAGCTTCAGTGATAGAATCTCTTTTTTCTCCAACTCAACCCTTTTATATTATTCAGTTGGCTTTATCTATTCAAAATTCTAAGAAATTGAGATAATATTACTTTGAAATTAAAGACATCTGTTCACAGTCTCCTAAGATTTTTTATGTTTCTATTATTCGGTTTAACACATGAAGTAGCCAACGACAAACTAATCTATATCATGAGTCTTCACTACACAAGGGTTTGGGATCAAACCATTTTTTGCTGTTTATTTTACAGGAGAAATCTCCAATGCCACGTTAGGTGCTCTCCATTTTTCTTCTATATTTCCCGTTCCAATCCCACAAATCCCATTTCATGGACTTACAAGTTACAACAACAACAATTAGTTCCATTGTGCACTCAAGTGCAAAGGATGCCTCGGTCCATAAGTTAAACAGCAGAAACTCTACAAAGGACGCATACTCTTACTGACAAACACCAACAGGACACAAATTAAAGGGGAAGACCAGCATGATCTATATATAGATTTCCATTAGACGTCCAGGTCTCCTTTTGGCTTCTCTATCTCCCTTCGCTTTACTTCAAACTGGGGAGGTTTTCTTTTTAGTAACCTGAGAATTCCAACCCCTCCTCACAGCAACTATATACACAGTCAGAGATTTTTCTAAGCGCGACTATCTAGAAGTTGATGATTCACCGAGGGAGACAGAAGCCAAAGATGAAGCCCACACGCGTGCACTCCTTGCACCATGGTGCAAGTTCCTGATCTTGCATTGTCTTAGCTTTGTCCAAAGCCCCTTCATATCTATCGCCTGAACAATCCGCCTCAAGATTTGGCCAGTTTCACCGAAGATGTCTAAACTCGGATTGGGTCTGTACCTCGTCCAAAAAGCTTTGATATGGTACATGAGTCTTTGGGCAACAATCCATATTACCCTTAAACAAAGGAATGCTACAGCAAATGACAAGTAAGGTTCTCGACTTAACATTTCATTGAGCGGCAGGGAGAGCTTGGACTCCGTTGCAAATCTTGCATTTTTCCTTAATACACCAGATTGATCAACATCAACATACTGAATTGGTTTAAGTCCTGCATTCAAGACAACCAGAAGAGGAAGTTAGACGTGGTAGGCAGGTCAAAAGAAGCAGCTATAGTTCATACTTCAATAGACATAGACCCCCAAAATTCCACTTAATCTATATCATGGAGAACATACATTGGTTCCCAGAATCATATCTACATGCCAAAATTACTTACTCCTTTATAAAGTTTTCTGGCAATTAGTTGAGAGAGGGAATATATTTTCACTCAGCAAATCCTACCACTTCTCCTAAATATGAGGAAATTTTATTCTACCTAGATTCAAGCGTGTATGACGTATACGGATAAGCCTTAACTATAACTAACCCCAATTTGGCCCAAAAACCCGATACTAATTTTTGCTTATTTAAGACAAGTACCTGTAGTTCTCCGGTAAAATTTTGAAAGTGAATCAAGATCTTTGGAATCATGAAACCACATCCTTGATGTTTGGTTAAAAATTAGTATCGCAGGCACGCTATGTATGCCATATCTTGAGAACAAGCTGCAACATGGATCATAAAAAAGCAGTTTAGTTAATAAAAGAAATTGCAAATATGTACCACTATCCATAAATGAATGATTTTGTTCTTGGAAAACTTAAGTGTTTCTCTGAGTTGGCCTGTGTTGAATATTTCATGTTATTGAAAAAGAGGAAACTTCGTTCCTCGCCTTTAGAAAAAATAAATGCTTCTCCAGACACACTAGCCCCAGCAGATTTAGCAGTAAAACCATAAGATTCCCATCATATCAGAAGCAAAGACAGCAATTATGACAGCACGCTTTCTTATTGACAAAGAGGAGCATTCTCTCACCTCGGCATGGCTGAAGATTGCTCAACGGCTAGGTGTTCAATTTGAGGGTACATAAAACTTAATGCTTCAAACATGAAATGAATTCTCCTTGAGAACGGGCACCAGGAAGCATAGAACAAAACTGAAGTATATGTACTCCGTTTCCTGGAGGTCAGGGCTCTGTTGATGAAGTCTCCACTAACCTGAAAGCGACAAAGACATGAAAGGAGCAGGTTTTAATCACTGTACTAGAGGAAAACTCAAATGAGAACCATTGAAACATTAAGGCTAACATCCAAAGTTGAGCAAGATAACCATAGGCTCATTTTCTACATTGAAATCCAATAATAATAACTCCAATGAAGACAATGAATCAATTCAAAGAATGTGACAACTTAAGAGAATCAGTTGCAAGCACACTAAGGGTGTGTTTGGTACGAGGGAAAATGTTTTCCATAGCCTGGAAAATGAGTGGTTTTATCACTTATTCTCTTATTTGGTTGGTGAGTGAAAAACTTTTTTCCAAAAAAAAAATTCTAGTGTTTGGTTAGAGAGTAGAAAATAATTTTTAGGAAAATAATTTTTTATGCTATTCTCCTCACCCCTATTCCCCCAAATTCCCATGTTTCATGTGAGAGGGTTGGTGGGGATGGGAAATAGGGTGGAGAAGATTGAAAAAGAGTTTTGAAAAATGTTTTCCATTTTTCTTGACATGGAAAATATTTTCCTCCAATTCGAGAAAAATAAGTTCATGAGGTTAATGTTTTCCAAAACATTTAAGCCAACCAAACATGGAAAATTGAAAAACAATTTCCAGAAAATGTTTTCCTTCATACCAAACACACCCTAAGATGTTCTTTTTTCTTTTTCCTTTCTGATCAGTACATTTAGATGCATCAATTATTCTACTCTGCGCATCAAGGGGCTGCAAGAGAGAAAATGTTGTCCATAAATTTCATGCGCGCTATGTGTGAAAAGTCTATGTAAATTCAAGGTATTTCAACCTTAAAATACGCGAGTATTTATCTGTCATTTTTACCTGATTAAAATTATCACCTCACTTGTGCAATACACATTGACTGCGCCAATTATCTTTGGAAATTTAAAGAATGCAAATCGAGAATTTAGACTGAAGGCGAGCCACATCAACTTACTAGATGTAAAAATGGCAGCCCGGTGCATGAAGAATCTCGCATCACGCAGGATCTCCGGAACCGCTGCACCCCAAGGGGTGTGATGTAGGCAGCCTATACTGATTCTTGGCTGATTCCACGGCTCGAACCCGTGACCTACAGGTCACATGGAGACAACTTTATCGTAGTGTTGTCAAAGGCGCGCTTAAAGCGTGCTTAAGCCCTAAATAGACGCAAAACATGTTGACCGCTTCACTTTGCTTAACGGGCGCTTCAGTGTCGTCATCAATATTCTAAGGCGTATTTTTCCATGCCAACAAGCGTATGAAGAGGCGATACTAAACAACTGATATTTCACTTTATCGTATTTTTTTTCCAATTTCTTTGTCCATATGTTTGTTATTCATGCTTGTAAGTATTAGTCTTGAATTACACATACATATTTGTATTTTTTCTCCGTTTGCGCCTTTCTTCATTAAAGTCCACGCTTTATTTGCACTTTGCACTAAAAGCCCGAATGGACCTTCGAGTTTTTTGCGCTTTTCGCCTTTAATAACACCGTTTTATCGTTGCTCCAAGGCTCCCTTTCACCAACTTACTTGATGTGAATTGTTATATTCATCATAATCAAGAGCAGTGTACAACTGCAAACAAACGTGGATTATTTTCAGCACTGAAGAATCAAATATTAAATGTTCCTTACCGGAAGGGAATAGAGCCAAATGGCTGCACAGAATGTGATGTAGTTTTATCAGCTTTCTTGTTAAAACCCATAAAAATAAGAAAAAGGATCAGGGAAGAATTCTAAGAAATTCTTGTTGCTTCCTTTGGCGAGGGCTCCTCTATATGAAAATTCAAGTCAAACACCGAACCTTTTTTCATTTTTAAGCAGATACGGGGCTGAAGGGGCTTTATGAACGAAGAAGGCAGCCAGAGAAGCAGAGATCAGACAGGCTCTAGGTCACTCTCACTTGCAGCAAGCAATGATCTTATCTTAGTACTAAATAATAGCTTAACCTCAGATCGCATAACTTTGTTTCATCTGTTTACAGTCCGCCTTGAGACATTAAGGCTGCTTTTTGTCTCTAGGAAGAAGGCTAGTGCAGATTAACAACGAATTACATTCTCTGCGGACCTACATGAAGTTACTCTTCCCAATCCCTTCTAAGGTAATTTACCAGTTAGACAGGCTCAGGAGAAGCTTTTTTTTTGGGTAGGGAACCTATCTTTCCATTTGGTGAAGTAAGACACACATTTGCAAAGCAAGAAGGCAGGGGAACCTGACCGAACAACCTAGGAATTCAAAACCAAAGTGGCTTTAGAGACATAAAAAGACAAACAGGTGCTAAGGCGAAGGGTTACGCAAACAAAATATGGGAAATTCAACGAATGGGTCCACAGAAAGGTAATGGTGTTGGACGATGGAAGCATATCAGAAATTATGCCGGAATTTCTTCAGCATGAGGCGATTGAATGTTGGTGATAGCAGGAAAATTAAGTTATTGCAGGATGCAAGGGTAGGTCTTACTCTGGATCTTTACAGTTTTGCTGCAGATACTGAGGCCACAATAGCACAAAGAAGATCAGGAAATGAGAGGAAAATATGTTTTAGAAGAGCTGCTATGACTAGGAAGTTGAAAGATTAGCTAAGTTATTGCTGGAGTTGGGACAACAAATATTTTCCTGCTAAAGCTGATCCTTTAAAATAAACTGCACCAAGGGATGTAAATTTTACAGTGTAGTACTATCAAATTCTTTTAACTGTAAATTGTCATCTTCCCCACTGGCCAAGAAAGACGATTGTGAGACTAAAGCCCCTTACAAGGTGGCTGGCTTTGGTTGGGTGATAACACACTTAAGTTCTAACTCAGCATAATCTACGGATGAGAGACATCCAGATATGCAGCAGGTCCATCTTTTTCTGCATAGTCCTACAGCTAGACAATAGTGGGAGCTATTGTGAACAATTTTGGGATGAATTGGATGGTGCCAAAGAGAATTAAACAGGTCCTTAGGTGCTGGAATGGATGCAGAATCCAAGAGGGGTTGAGGAAGACATGGAGGACTGTACCAGCTTGTGCTTGAACTATGGGAGGAAAGGAACCAGAGCGCTTTGAGGGTAGAGGTATGGCTTTAGACATTTAAAATAAAAAATGTCTTATTACTTAGCTAGCTGGTGTAAAATGTACATGATGAACATAGATTGAAAGACATTATTAGCTCTATACTAGACTACAACAACAACAACAACAAACCCAGTATAATCCCACATAGTGGGTCTGGGGAGGGTAGTGTGTACGCAGCCTTACCCCTACCTTGTGGAGATAGAGAGGTTGTTTCCAATAGACCCTCGGCTCCGAGAAGCATAAGCACCACATTAAAGAAGAGAAAAACAAGAATCACAACAGAGAGAAGCCATGTAAAAGTAGCATAAATTTACAACAAATAATCAGGAGACCGCAAGAAAAAGTAAAACTCATGCGTATAAAACAACAATAAAATTAACGTTTTCCCCAGGGATCAAATAGTTACTAGATAGAGAAACCCAAGTATGTGCAAATTTTTCTGAACAAGTTAAATGGTTGAAGCTCAGAGTTTTATCATTGCATTGATAGCCTATAGTGTCAAACTTCATGCTTACAGGGAATGTCAGAACTTTTTTTCAGATGTCGGTGCAAGACAAACAAGTGATTAATCCAACCTACCTGATTATTCACGAAGAATTGAAAAGAAGAAGACTACCACCAATAAGTTAAGGGACAGCAAGTGGGCTAAAAGTGTGACCACAGGAACAGCAGAGGGGTTGGGAAAACTTCTCAAAGAACAGTTCCATTGAGATGTGAAACGAGACTCTGACATTCTTACCAGCTACTTCTTATATATTTGTCAAAATAAAAAATTAGTATCAACTTTATGGTATGTCATTTTAATTCAGTTTGGCAAAGATACAGTATAATACTAGGGTAAAAAACCTCAATTAAACATCTGGCTTTTCAAATATCAGCACCAAGAGAACACGCATGTTGTATGCAGAAATATTCATTAAAAGAGAGTGCCCCGGAGATTTATAGAGGTTGACGGTCAAAGAGAAATCAAGATGTTGGAACAGATGATGAGAGCACTTTTCTATATCTGGAACAGCATTATCCTAGCGAATGGTCGATGCTGGATGCTTTAAATCTAGTATGAGATTCAAGCTTCCAGATGTTGAATAACAAACTGGTGTTATCAAATTCTAATGATATTCCCCATCACACCACCCATGAAACCATTCTAAGTTCTATCATCATTGACGTAGCGCAAGACACAGTTGCACTAGAGCTCAAGTGACGAACTCCAACAAAGCTACAACGATCACCGCCAAACTGTTGATAGTCTCCATCCAAAAACTAAAACAGATTTACAAACACCAACTTTTCAAACTTCCTGACCATACTTTTGAAATCAAAGATATTACTAGCAATTAGAAATACAATCCTCTTAGATTTTTTAACCATTTGTTGAGATCATATGTATCTGTAAGATTTTAGCAACACCTACTATCTAGAAAGGCTTAGTATCTACATATATCTTCCAAGATAAGTGCCTGAGTGCAGAGACAAATGAACAAAACATAGGCAAATATGCTCACCACAGAAACGCTTTTAAAAAACAAAATTTCATAAACAAAATTTTGAATTTCATAAAGAAATAACCATATTAAGTATCAAGTGACTTGAAAAAAAATTCCAAAATAACTTTCAAGAGAAAAAAATCTGTTATCATAAATAAAATTCAGAATTTCTTAAATCTATATTTCCCAGTTTGTTAAGTTAAAAAGTTTCTAGCTTTATGAGTTATTACCCAGAAATCAACGCAGAAAACAAGAGAAAACCCACATAATTGCGAAAATCGACAGAGAACCAAAAATTGCATAAAAGGGAAAAGGCAGAAAGAAACACCAAATACACACACAAGAAATTTGCAACAGAAAAATACCAAGAAAATATAAACCAGCAAGAAATGAAAAGCTGACCTGAAGAGGGGATTGGAAAGAAAAAGAGAGAGGACATTGAGAACGAAGAGCTAGCAGAAATGGAGGAGGTGCTGACGCATCGCATGGTGAAAAAGATATGAAACAACAAATGCAGAAGAACAATACTATTCCACAGACCCTTTTCCTCAATTCCTCCATTTTTCAACAGCTTCAAATACAAAAATTCCACAAAGGAAAAGGAAGATAACAACACAAATAGGCCTTTGATTTCTTCGTCAAACCTATCTCTTTCTCTCTCTTCAGAAAAAAAGGATGTTTCTCTCTTTATATCTATTGATAAAACTATATGGGGTATCTATAAGTCGTTCTTTGCCTATGGATTCTATATTTCCTATCCATCCATAATAAATAGTAGCAGAAGGGACCTCCATGACACATTTCTCAATTCTGACTTGCTAGGCGGATCATGGATGTTAACTTTTATTATTAATTTAACTGAACTAATTAGATTATTACAGCTCGAATATGGACTGTATTTTTTATGGATATGATGTTTTCGGGTTTCCATTTTATTTATTTGTTGGGATGTTCGTATGGTATCGTATCGTATTGTTACGCTAAATACAATATTTGTTTTAATTGTTACTTAAATTTTATTGTATCGTATCCTTAAATCCGTTATTACGTAACAACAAAAAATATCACTTTATGTAACGACCAATCTGGTGTGATCGTGTCGTTACCTTGTCTTTTACTCTCATTTCGCCCTTCATTATAACTAAATCATTTTATTTTATCTTTTACCCTATTTCTTTATATAATAATTTTATCCCGTGTGATAATTTTTCTTTATGATATTGCAAATTTATTCTTCATATTGTTGGTACTTGATATCATGAAACGATGACAAACGATACAATCTATTCAAACATTGTATTCATCAAACGATACAGTACAATATAATACAATACGATACGAAACATTAGGCAGAATAGTTCCAACCTCCCTCAACTTGATAACTTTTATTTAGTTCAACCTTAAATTTTAAGTGGTCTTTAATAACCCCTAAACTTGACAACTTCATAGCCTCGAACCCCTAGATGCTCACAATCCATGGGAGTGTGACACACGCGCTGCCACATGGATTTTTTTGTCCATGTGACATTTTTTACTACAAAATATATATTTTTATCGTTTTATGTCCACCAACCACTTAAATTATTTTTCTGCCAAAATCTGTATAAAATAAATTTAAAACAACGTTATTTTGACTATATTTTTTTATTTGGCTAAAGATAATGATATTTTAATTGAGTTACTTTTACATATTTGGTCAGAAAAAGAAGGAATACATAGTTAGAACATATTATCATTGCATCTCAAAAAAACACGTTGTTTTAACTTCATATGATTGGCTTAATAAAAATTTGAGCTAAGAATAGTAAAATTCTGACCAAATATTTGCGAATTTGACTCGAACAAATGCATGGTTTAAATAAATAGTTATTGCATGAAAATAAAAATAAAAATACATAGTACTTTTTTCTTTTTTGTAGAAAATATACCATTTGAACTTTATTACTTTAGCTAAATATTCTTTTTGATTGGCTAGAATATATGGAGTTTCAACTAACTTTTGTAGATTTGGACTGGGGGAAAAAGAAGATACGAAATACATAGTTGAACAAATATTCATTGTTTTTCAAAAAAAGTACAATTGGAAAAAAAATATGCAATTTATATTAACAAGAAACAACGAAAAATACAATTGGAACAAATAAATCGTCATATTTGATAATGTGGCGATTAATATTAGAAAAATACCCCAGTTGGAAGCTAATTTTTTTATTTTTCTGTCCTCCCACGCGCCTTAAAAAAAGTGTATTCACGCTCGTTGTCTCATCAACATCTAGGAGGGTCGAGACAATCAAATTTTCAATTTGAAAGCTTTAAGTTGGAAGAGTTTACCAAGGTTTGACTTTTGAAAAAACAATCTCGGGTTCGTATTTTGATGGTCCCAATAGGTTTGTATGGCAATTTTGGACTTATGCATATGTTCGGATTAGATTTGGAGGTTCCTAGGTTGATTTGGCCCTAATTGTCGAAAGTTAAAAATTTAAAGGTTTGGAAAGTTCGTAAATTTGACCGACAGTTGACTTTGGAGCTATCGAGGTCCAGGGGCAGATCTACTGTATAAAATATGGTTAACGTGAACGTGTGGTCTTCGGGTTAAAGTATATATATGATATACATAATTTGACAAAAATACATATACATATTTGATGGAACCCATGGTCAAAAGAGGCGAGGTGGGTCACTTGTTTTTGCCCCTTATTTCCAATATCTTAAGGGCATCGAATCCCCTACCAATTTTTTTATTTAATTTTTTTCTTAAATATTTCTTTTCTTTCTATTTCTACTAACATAACTTTTCTTTTTATTCTTTAAATCACTACATCAATCAATTGCCAACTCTCAGTTCTCACACCCTGGAGTTTACTCGATTTTCCCATCCCAAATATAATATTATTCCCTAACTCAAAAGTCAAAATCATAAAACCCTAGTCAGCTAATTCTTATATATTATTGTTCTTGTCTCGTGCGTTGATAAAAGTGAACAAAATTGTTAGATTCAAAGCATTTAGAAGATTTTCCTCGTAAGTGGTAAGGCTTTATTTCAGTTTATTTACAAGTTTTGAAAAGAATTCTTTGGTTCTTCTTTTGTTTCAATCTGTTGCATGATTTTCTTGATTGGCTTGATTTGTTTCTCCCTCTGTTCTCTTAGTTAGCATCTGTAGTTTAAACATGAGAGATTTTATGTAACTCAACTAACACAGAATTTTACATAAACCAACTTTGAAATCAAGTGTTTCCGCTTTGTCAAATTCATGAAATATGAAAGTGAGATATCATGAAATACCCAACTCGAGGTAATTAGGTTGGAAAAAGGCCATCAAGATTTGATTACACAATGAAGGATCTTTCATTTTGTGATTTGAAAAATGAATTCGTATTTGCACTTTGTGCTATTCTGTTGCTTCTACTCGTTCGACTCTACAACAAAGTATAAATGGTGGGGTGTTTCATTAAATATGTTAGTGTTGGTGATGTTAACACCGTAAATGAAGATGTAGTAGCAATTTGAATCTTAGTTTGCTTATTGAGTTCATTACCTTCAGAGAAGTCAAAAATGTAGGTAGTTGCAAACTTGAAAACCAAACGTCTTGTTTCTTTTTTCTTCTATTCACTTTCGTGGTCATGATGGGAGTGAAGATTCCGAATGTAAAGGTCTTTTCCTTGAACTTTTAGAATTTCATGGGGATAAGAATTCGGATGTGAGAAAGGTAATATTACATAAAGCTCCAAAAATGATATGATGATTTGTCCAGTAATTCAAAAGGATATTGTGGATGCTTGTGCTAAAGAAATAATTAAAGCTATCATTAAAGACTTAGATGGTAATTTCTTTGAGATATTAGTTGATGAATCAAATGGCATCTCACATAAAGAGCAAATGGCACTAGTTATACGATTTTAACAAAAAGTTGGGAGGTGATAGAGCGTTTTTTGGGTATTGTCCACGTGAATGATACATCTGCACTATCATTACAGAAAATAATTAATGATTTGTTTTTGGTTCACTCGTTAAGTTTATCCAAGTTACATGAACAAGGTTATGGCAGAGCTAGTAATATGCAAGGAATTAAGAATAAATGGCCTGAAGTCTTGTCTTGCCCATCAGTTCATCCAAGTTACGCATTCATTATTTTGCCCATCAGTTGCAATTGAGACTTGTAGTTCTTTTTAAAAAGCATTCGGATGTGAATAATATTTTTGATTTTGTCACTAATGCACTGAATACTATTGGAGTATCTTTTAATCGCAGGAAATTACTTCGACAATACCAAGTAGAAAATCTGGAAGAATTATTTAAATATGGAGAAATACTTACTGGGCAAGGATTGAATCAAGAATGTGGACTCCAACAACCAGGTGATACTCGATGGGGATCCCATTTTAAGACCTTGAAAAGTTTTATGATTATATTTTCTTCGATTATTAATGTGTTTAAAGATATGCAACAAAATAGTTCTCATTCTCTTGAGAGAAAATCTTTTGGGCAATATTCATGAATTTGAATTTGTATTTTTGTTGCACTTGATGGTCAAGATGTTGCTTCTTACAAATGAATTGAACAAAGCTTTACAAAAGAGAGATCAAGACATCGTCAATGCTATGAGCTTACTTGACCTTATAAAGACTAGATTTCAAACGATGAGAGAAAGTGAATTGGAGTCTTTGATGAATGAGGTTTACTCATTCTGTGGTAAACATGATATTATGATTCCCAAAATGAATGGAGACTATCCAAGGTCGAAGCGTAAGAAATCTAAAGTTTCTTATGCACATCACTTTCGTGTGAAAGTATTTTATGCAGTTATCGATTTGCTACTTCATGAGCTAAATAGTTGTTTTGATGTAGCGACTAGTGACTTACTTCTTGGTATGGCTTGCTTGAATCCGGTTAATTCATTTGCTAATTTTTACAAAGACAGAATAATAAAGTTGACCGAGTATTATCCCAGTGAGTTTGATGACAACAAGCTTCGGATCTTAGTTTTCAGTTTTATAGTTTCATTGTCTATGCTCGAACGTGTGACAACAAGTTTGTCAACATGAAGGGAATTAAGGATCTTGCTACAGTGATGGCAAAGACAAAATTGGATCAAACTTGGTGTTATGTTTATTTCCTTGCGAAGCTTACTTTGATTCTACTTGTTGCTACTGCAAGCGTGGAAAGAACATTCTCCTCAGTGAAGCTCATAAAAAGTGATCTATGTAATAGCATTAGTGAAAAATTTTTGAATGGTTGTTTAGTTTGCAATATAGAGCGTAAGATATTTGCGACTGTAAGCAATGATGCTATTATAGATCGTTTTCAAAGTATAAAAACTCGTCGAGTATATCTGTAAATTGATGATGTTTTCTTTTTTGTAATAATGAAACTAATTATTTTTTTCTCCCTAAGTTATTTTACTGTAAAAATTTATGTCATCAAACTTAATATTTATCTTAAAAGCAATGGTGCACCCATCTTTTCGGAATCCTAGATCTACCTCTGTCAAGGTCAGATTGTTATTCGGGGAATTAGAATAGGTTTATTTCTTCATTTAGAACTTATGTGCAAAGTTCAGGTTCATTTTGGAATTATTAGGCTTGCATCGAATGCTTGGTTTGAAGTTGGAAGTTTATAAACTTAAGAGATTCATCTTGATCGACGATTCTGGGTTTTGGTGTTAATTACAGTGTTTGGAGCCATTGATAGGGTTTGGAGATGTATTAGGACTTGTTGGTCTGATTAGATGGGGTCTCGTGGGACTCAGGTGAGTTTCGGATCATTTCGGTTGAGTTTGGCATAGCTGATCTTCTAGTGCTCTAATGTTCTTCATT